AATAGTGAAGCGCCTCAAACATTAAACCAACATCCAATTGGCGACACAGGCTTGGTCAGTCCTGTCCACAAACGAAATGTCGTCGCGGTGTTATGCCCCTTTGCCTCTCCATTGCGCGGGTGCCCTCTCTTCCTAGTTCTTAACGTCCTTCTTGTACCCAGGAACCCTCTCTCTTCAGTTGGCTCCCAGCCTTTGTCTTCGCTACCCAGTTTTCAACACTAGTAACAGCGCCAAAAGGCGAGTTCTTCTGCTCCAATAGGAACGACAAAACCTCAGCGGGACTGAAAACTTGGTCTGGCACCTTGGAAGCAAAGTTATTGGCAAGTCTCTCAATCGCCTCATCGCCGCATTCATGCTTTGACCCCTTGTGGTCTGCCGTCTGCTTGAAGACCGTGTGAAATAGTTGAGTAGAAATCTTCTTATCGGCAAGCTGGAAATACACTTTCTTGTCTGCGCGGCCAGGCCGAATGAGTGCTTCATCCAGATGTTCGATATGATTGGTCGTCATAACAAGCACCCGACCTTCTTGAGATGACACACCATCAAGAACATTCAGAAGACCGGATAGGGTGACTCCAGAGGTTGACTTGTCCTCTTGGTCTGTATCGGAGTCGTCCCTGCGCCCCATCCCAGCGGCGTCCACGTCCTCTAGAAGAACGATGCAGTGCGGCGGAAGCTCAGAAAATAGCTTCATCAGCTTGCTGTCAGAAATCCCTGACAGTTGAAGCGTATAAATATCTAGTTCAAATTCCCCGGCCAGGGACAGACTGAAGCTGGATTTTCCGGTTCCAGGAGGTCCATATAAAAGGTAGCCTCGTTGGTAGGGGATACCGCGGTCGGCGTACCACTTCTGTGTATCTTCATTCAGGAAGTCCTTCACATCTCTTAAAAGGTCATCTTGTACTTCCTTGTCCATAATGACTGTTGAGACGGGCCGAACTGGTCTCAACCTAGTTTTCTTCCAGTCCCCTTCACGGTGCTCAAAGACAGTGATCTTTTTGTCAATGTTATTAAGGTAATTCCCTCGGCACTCTTCAACGAGCTGTTTGAGAATGTTTGGATAAAGGCCAATGGAGGAGATGTAGATGTCTTCTCGATGGTCTTTGACAGCGCAGTGAAGTATGAGCAGGTGTCCTTTATACCAAAAAGGAAAGGATCCATCCCAAGGCGAAAATGTCAAAGGTTTCTTCTTTTCTTGGCTTTGGATGGTTGTTCGCTGTGGAGATCTCACACGAGCAATTACTGAGTGAGCATTGCGGACAAACGGTTGGTGGGCTATCCAGTCGACTAGCATGTCGTACGCTTCGTCATAATATGAGACATGGATTGTCGAAGCTGTTGGCTGTCAGACTCATCCCATCACAAAGGAAGAATTACGAACTGAAGTGGCTTCTCACTAGCTCCCCAACATAGCGGACTGCATAGCGAGTGAAGAGGACAAGCATTCCTAAGGTACAAAGGAGCCGAGTGTAGCTGTCCAGGTTACCAGCAAGAAGCTGCTGCGCGGAGGCAGAGGCCATACTGAAACCGGGAAAGAGGACATCTATAAGAGACATCTGGGCACCACCCCCGCTGATGGCGTTCATTGTGTATACGAGAATCGAATGGTATTCGTGGCTGTGATGATAATGAGGAGAGAACGGTATTTTGATGTGTTATCCAAGGTTTGAGGACATGGGAATTCGCGGGGCCTTATATGCTTGGTTGGTTGGATGCTGAGTCTAGTCACCGTTCGAGCAAGACGTTGCTTCCCCCACGTATTCGGTGTTCAGCTGCATGGGAGTGTGCTTCATGGTGCATAGCATATGAAGTAATACCACCCTCAATTGGATGGATTCAGGAATCATTCAGTTGGTGGCGTCGCTTTTGGACCTGAATAAACGACATCGAGCCTCGTTCTTAGAAACTGATAGTTTTAGGACTCTGTAAAAGTGGTAGGTAGCCAAGTTATTAGTGGTAAGATAGCTTCGGGACCCTGTAAAAGTAGTAGGTAGCCAAGTTGGTAGTCTACCACTTGAGGGGAATTGCTACAGACACGGCACGTTTTGCTAGTAGCACGGCACATTAGGTAATATTCCCTTTACATAATCAATTTTGACCGAGATCGTTACCATACATTACCACAGCAACTACATTACTTACTACTGTAGCAACTACATTCTATCTACTACTGCTTCATTACTATAAGAACCCGACCATGAATCAATTCTCTCTAGTCAATCTTATTGTGCTTTTCATCTTATTTACATGCTTTTCACACTCTGCAGGAGCGGATTGTATGGCCAATTTCTCCACAATTTGAGCACTTCGAGGGTGCTTTCTTCTTAGTGACCTTTTGGTTTGATGTTTTGATGTTTTGATCTGATATGTTCTCTTGAGCTGATCTGCGAGTTGGTGGTGGTAATAGAGGATCTAGTATTGGCAGATACATAGATGACTCATTACTAAGGCCAATCCTCCAAAATTGATGGATATCGCTTAGTGGGATTGGTTGATGTTTTGTTAATAAACTAGCGATTCGGTGGGCACACGGAAGGCCCATTGTCCTAGTGAATATATTAGTGCAGTTTGATAAAGGTGCTTCGGGGGTAGCTCTCTTAGCTATAGCAGCTTGATTAGAGATCAAAGATATTGAATATCGTGATGTTCTCTTTATAATATTCGAATAGAGAAAGTGGGAGCAGAAATTTAGTCTCTTAATCTTATCTTCTGCAAGATCAGATTCAAGTCGCTGATACTGAGCCTGTAAAGCATTATTAATTCTCTCAAAAACATGAAGCATATCACCTGAAGATCCCCCTATATACTTTTTTAAAAAAGCGTGAGACCCCTCCACTCTTGATGTAGCCCAGTTACCAAGATGAAGATATTGCCCTACCCAAGCCCTAATAAACATCTCTTTATAGGTTAGCCAAGTACTTTGAATATATCTAAGAGCATTAGGGGCAATTTGATTAAACTGCGTTGTGAACTTAGCTAATTGAGCATTATATTCATCAATATTTGATGAATTAATTAGCTCTTTCCATGACTTGATAAAAGCCTCAAATTCCTCATTTGAAGAGAAATATTGCTTTGTCTTTGCCAGCACATTCTTATTAATATGCCAAATGCATAGTAGATGTGGGCTTCTAGGACAGATAGATTTAATTGCACCTAATAAAGCAAGATCTCTGTCAGTGCAAAGAACTGGAGAAAAGGGTAAGGGGTCAAGCCATGAAAAAAAAGTCTGTAAAGTCCACTTATAGCTTTCTTCCTGCTCATTTTGCATAAAGCAGAAAGCAATACTATAGGATGAATTCGATGGCGAGAGACTAATAATATGTAAAAGAGGCATCTTATACCGATTCGTCTTGTAAGTACAGTCTAATAAAAAGACCCTATTATATTGATTAGCATACTTAATTGATTCAGGGTGAGCGAACATAAAAAATTGAACATGACCTTCTATATCTTGTTTAAATGCATATTTCCATTGATTCTGAATTAATATCTGTTGAAGAAGTTCAAGAGGTAAGTGATTCCTAAGCTTTTTCTGTCTTATACTACCTCTTATATTATAAATATCTTTTGGTCTTATTAAGATATCAGGTTGATCCTTTCTTAATAGACTTATAATATGCTGCGGTCGAGATCCAATATCTGATAGATGTTCAATAGTTTGATTTTGATCTTTAGTAAGCTGTGGACGCCTTGCCATAGGATGCCCTATCATATTATTAGTAGCTGCATGATTATGATTAGGATTTCTTACCTGGATTTCCCATTGATTAGTATCAACAAGCTTCTTTGCATAAAGGCGGAATGGGCAGTTCATCCGTCTAGTACTTGTCTTCCGGCGTTTTGCCCCTTCTGGGGCATCAATATGATCATGGTATATACCGCCTCTATCACAACCAAGACAAATATTCCTCTCCTTAGCGGAGTTGATGATAGTGATAGCATAACCATGAGATAGGGCATGCTGTCGTATCGAAGTAAGGAGTTGCTCTCTAGTCTCAAAGACTTGCTCAATTGGTGGCTCCATGATTAGGTGAAATCAAGTATCAATTGGATGAAGTAAGATCAATTGGATGAAGTAAGATCAATTGGATGAAGTAAGATCAATGAGAAGATAGAGTGGTTCTTATAGCAGAAGTAGATAGAATGTAGTTGCTACAGTAGTAAGTAATGTAGTTGCTGTGGTAATGTATGGTAACGATCTCGGTCAAAATTGATTATGTAAAGGGAATATTACCTAATGTGCCGTGCTACTAGCAAAACGTGCCGTGTCTGTAGCAATTCCCCCACTTGAGTCAAAAATTATGTAATGGCTTTGTAACGGGGCATAATTATCTGTACCCCGAGTTGATCCGACTGATGTGGGTCCCTTATGATCCTCTTAACTTGGTACGCGAGGACCAAACGTCGACCTGCTCCCAAGAACATCATCAGAACTGCTATTCAAGCCTGTCAACCCTACGTTTGGGCCATAGCTACCTTAACTTGGGTATTTCTGGGATACTACTACAACAATTATTGGCGCACAAATACGCGATGCATTGCGCTGGCCACCGTTGACTTGCTGCCCAATCTGGGTTGTCATACCCCACTCTCTTCAAATACCAGAACGAAAGGTCGCACCAGGAAGGAAGATCGAAAACATAAAACCATTCCAAAATTGAACAACGTTGATCAGCTTGCTTGATATTCTACAGTTGCACTATGGTAGTTTGATTCACCATCAAATCCTTATTCTTCATTCTTGACTGACACGCTTTTCAGAAGGGTGACGAAGCCCTCGCCGGGCGCGAAGAACGGAATATTGCTAGCCATCGATTTCCTCCGGACCCGGAAAATGACAGAACAATCAAATTTCAAGGACTATACATATCAGTATTCAACGAAGACGCGCAGGATCGAAAAATACTCGAGGAGAATGTCACCGAGTACAAAAATTTCGCAGTTCCGAAGGGCTACACGACGTATGTGAGGGGAGTTGAAATTGTCTGCTGGATAGTTTAGGAGGAAAGTGCATGCTTCACGCCATAGGTGTCATTCAGTCTATACCCATCATTGTGACCAACCCAGATAGTGAATGATACATCCTGTGTTTCGTCCTTCGGGAAAAGTGTTGCCACGCAAGCTGTTGTCCCGTGTCCCTGAGACCTTTCCCACTTCCACAGCGCACTATTTTGAACTGCAGCACGGAATGGTTGCGGTAGTTGCATCACCATCGTATTTGGGGCGTTTGTGAACATGTGCTTCATCTCTGTAAAGAATCAAAATATATCCGGCAACGCAGGCGATATGTCTTACCTCGGTGTTCGTTGTCGGGGTTCCGAGGCGCTGTTTGAACTGCCTGGATAGGCATATCGGGATTAGTGAATTCATCTTGCTGGGATGGATTCTCTAGGTCTAACGGAGTGTCAGTTACAGAAAAGCCTCTTCCAAGGGTCCTCTTACTATGCACGAGCTGCTCAAGACTGTAGCACCCCTGAACTTCCCCGTCCTTCAGTCTGGAAAGTGTTTGACATACTGCGTCCGGCCACTTCTTCCTGTCTCTTGGCTCAATATCCTCTATGAGGCAGTCAAAAGTATCATTTGACATAAAGCATGGTCCCCATGTGGTTGGAGGATAAGCAATAGCCCACGAGACAATTCCATCTGGGCTAAGTTGTTGAATCCTAGAACATCTTTTCTGGACCACACCTCTCCTCCACTTGGTATCTTTGGAATCGAACTCAGATTGCTGTGACCCGCAGTAGATTAACTTGATGTTCCTGCGGAATACCGCTGGATTGTGCAACCGTCCTTTGCTGAGCACTGTGGCAATTATGGATTGCGCTTTGAGTCTGTAAGGCTCACTGTCCTTCCACGCCTGCTCCATCCATGGGCGCTTCCGTAGTCCTGCTTTTGCTTCGATGACAACAATGATGTCTTTGAGGTTTGCAGCGACCGTTTCCAACGTTTGCAGGTCGGTCCCGGACAAAGAGATATCACGCATCGCTAAGTTCAAGGCATCCAGATCTCTAGCAACGGAGTTTAATTGATTGATGATAGCAGCCATGGCTAATTTTGTGATATGGATGTCGACGTTTAGTTTTGAAAGTTGGAAAGTTGGAAGATTGAAAGTATTATGGGCCACAGTTTTAGAGGATGTCTAAGTTTATAGCTGCCTAAGTTTGCTGACGTGCACCGCCAATGCGCCAATGGATGGTGGGATAGAGGTGGGGCTGTGGGCCATTTTTGGGACTTCAGCAGCTGATCATTGTCTATGACTAGGAAGTATCGCTATTTCACGTTTCCCCATCACAATATCGCAACCCGGAAAGATAATGGGGACGTCTCTCATAGGAAGAACGAGCTGCAGATGCACGCCCCCTTGTCGGATTGAGCGAGATCTAGGGAAGTAAAGGGCTCTTTATTTAAATAGCGGCATGGACCGTGTAGATCGAGCTCAATGAAAGTGTCAACATAAAAATGGACTCTGAGGTGATATTCCAACTGACTGCGTCGATAATAGCATCAATTTTCTGCGGAGCAAGTCTTGCCTTCTGGCTCCTGTCGATTGACGCTATGAGCTTGCAAAGGCTTAGCAAGGAACCACTCATCTCTAGTCAAGCTGTGATAGGTGGTTTCGTGTTTCTGGGATCAATCACTTCTGTTTTCCTGGCACTGTTGGCAGCAGATCCAAAATACGGCAAGTTGCTTTCTATGCTGAAATCAGTTTCCTCGCTAATCACATTTCAGATCTGTCTCAGCGGATGCTACAGCTGGAAGTTGATAGTGTGCTTCTTTTGCTCATTTTGAATGAGGTGAGAATGGTGAAAACAGAAGAAGAGCAACACTGACCTCTGTCAGTATCTAAGTGTTTCTACTTTGCAACACTGGTTAGCCCATATCGTATCTGCCTTATTGTTTGTAGGAACAGTTGCCATTCTATTATTTTCTATGGCTTTTTCGGTACGTTTAACTAGCTGCCTTCCTTTTGATATAATTTGTTAATCAATAAATGACAGGAGCATCGCAGAGCTTTGTTTTCTTCATTTATGATCTTCGCTTTTGCTGGGCTCGGGTTCATTCACGCCCAAGTTATTAGAGCCTGGATAATATGCATGAGGCCATGGCATATCGAAACGAATACATTCAAATTATTCTGGCATTATCCGCTCCTCACTGCTGCCAGGCATCAACGAGCCTTGTGGGTGGCGTCCATTGGCTCAATAGGGTTGTTTCTTATTTCGTTAGGCTTGACGATACTTGCCTGCATACATACCAGCCTGCAGCCTCAAATTGCGACGGTACATACCTTCACTAAACCAACATCACAAGTTACTCACATGTTTCATAGTTCCAAATCGCCATAATAGGCCTAAGAAAGGCGGTCGTTTCATTATGCCTTCTTCGAGCTCAACAAACATGAAACTGTTACCTTTCGCACGAACACGCCCAAAAATAAGGACAGAATATAAATCAGCGTTCGAAAGAAGGAGGCTGGGGAATAGCTACAACATTAGGAGCTGTGCAATGCAATGCAAAGAAGTACTTGGAAATTGGAAATGGAGACAGGGGTGGTTTACAACAATACTTGAAATAACATGACCGTGTATCAGCAAATCGACAAAACTTCCTATATGCATTTCTAGCTTAAGACAGCAGTTGTTTCCTAAGCGTCGTGCTCCAGTGCACCTGAATGGAGCCTTTGCTCCTTCCAGGGAACTTCCGACTGAATCGCTTGATCACTTCCGACCAGGTAAGAGCGTCTTCCTTCCTAAGCTTCACCAGAAGGCGATCCTCTTCCGGAATGAAAGGTAGTCCTTTTCTCGAGGAGCCAGGATGCTGTATATCGACCACGTTGGCACCTGCGAATGGTTGCGCAGGCGGTGGAGTCGAGGTTTCTTCCTCTCCCGAGATAGAACCTAATGCCGATGCGCCATCCGCGCTGGATGAAGCATGGAGGCATTGGGACAAAGCACCCTGAAACAGCCAGGACAAGAACTGCAGTTGCTCTTCGACCGGTAGAGAAGAGAATTGATCCCGAAGAATTGAAAACGACATTTTAACGGGGCCGTTTGCTCGAGTGCTCCGGCCAGTCCTATTCACGTGGCGATTGTCCACGACGACAGAAACCTTGTTTATTTTGGACCACTGCCGCCTTGGTTTCATTTTTGGTCGCATGCTGCGGCCACGAACAGTTTTATCCGACGAACGAGAAGGGACCACAACGTCAGTGTCTTTTCTTGCTGGGGTCTGCTCAATATCTCGGAAATGGTAATCACCCAGGATTGCCGGATCAATTGTTGCGTCGCAACACTCGCTCGTCAGAACAGAACTTCTAGTAATGCCAGTATGAGAGTGCTGACTGGTAGTGCAAGCGAATCCCGGATCGCCTGACTCAAAGTCGAGTGGGTGCTGAGACTCTGCGCCTAGATTATCATAGATCATCGGACGGTCTTCGTCTCCAGAGCTTGGTAAATCCTGCAGTTGGCGAATATCCTCGAAGTCGAACGCCTGAACTCCGGGGTTAACACATAATGTCTGATCCTGCATAGCGGGTTGGTGCTGAGTGTTTATCTCCTGTGGTAGGCTGTCATTCAAGCAAGCCTCCACTGGTGGTCGGGGAGGAAGGGGGTGTCGCTCAGGTTTATGAAAATGAAAATTTGGGTTCGTCGAGGCCGAGTTGCTAGAATTGGAGGGAGGCGAGGTAGCAGTGATCGAGACAGGACTTGGATAACGACAAATATCGAGAGAATTCCGCAGAGGCTGCGCTTTGTCCTGGAAAGGATTCCACGGCCGGAAAGATTCCAAGCGAAAACTATCGCTCGACATATTGTGAAAAAGGCTGCTGAGCAAGTACACGATATAATGGAATCGGGACCACTCGTAGAAATAGAGAAAACGGGATCGGGATTTTGGGTATGTGGTAGTGGGTAGGGCACGGTGAGAATGGAAAGGTGGGAGAATTTGGGAAGGTGGGATTACAGATTTGCCACTTGGGAGGAATCGTCGTCTCTTTTATAGACCACGAGGCGTAATCCGCCTACTTCATAGCGCAGAAGACGCCGACCATCTCCTGCAACCCATGCCGATGCGTCCAAAGTTGTGAGACGACACAAGTTTCTTTTTCAGCTTTAGGGCACCTGCAACAACCCCTGCCAATCTCGCTGATGGCTCCCGACCAATGACCTATGCCCACGGCTGTCGCTAGCAAAGCCTCTATTCGCCAGACTGTGCTATCGTGAGGTCTTATCATAGCCCGGCCAGGCATTGACCTCACGACGCTGCATTTGGCCGGGGTCAGGCGAATGTGCGGTATTTTTGCTATTGGCTCGCATGACCGTGGCATGCTGCCGAGATGGATCAATTGGGTGCGAATACACCGGAGAGGCCGACGATGACGACAGATTGGGGGTCGAGGCGTTTACGGCCGAGAGTAGATCTGCGACGCCAAGGGCTGTGCAATGTAACCTCAGGTGGGGACCGCGATGGGGCGGATGAAGCAGAGCATGCAGCATCAAGGAGGGCAATTGGGGAGACTTCGCAACAAGGGATGCCAGCGGAATAACAGACCACTGAACGGGAAGGTCTCACCAGCAGAAAGCGATCTAGATAGCTTCGTAGACTTCTTTGGAAAATGAAGTATTGACACAAAATAATGCGATGCGATGGATGGCTAGATCACCGCAGTGTTTCTGTTCCTGAGCGACTGGATAGCATTGCAGCCCACGCTGGTCCGAACGACCACGGCGTCGGATCGAGCGGCATCTCCGGTAAAATGAAAGGGGCAGTGCGTCGGGCTGAAAGCCAAATGCGCAGGAGACGGTAAGGGCGAGAAAGAAAAAAAGAAAGGGGGGGCAGAAGGGAAAAAAGAGAAGAGAAAGTGCGTCGACAAGAGATGGAGAGGGCGAGCAGTCTTTTATAGATAGACGGCAAGTAGGCAGAGGCAGTAAAGCGGCCAGGGACGGCACTAAACCTAAACGGGGCTAGAGGAGATGGCGCCATACCGGAAGGGGCAAGGGGATAGTGGAGACAGGCAGGCGGTCGGGGGCGGCAGAGGGGCGGTGCAATGGGAGCCGGTTCCAGCGCCCCGCTCACCGTGTCAACTAATACTCCGACGTACGAAAAGGCTCTAACTATTTCTTAAGCTATTCTATAAATAATATTAGATAGACGAGCTTATAATCACTCGCGAGGAATAGCGCTAAATTAAATATCTTCTCTAGATTACCTATCCCTTCTACCAATTTACCACTATACTTTCGTAGATAAAGGATATCACTATCCACTTAATATTTAGTATATATAATAAGCTGTTTACTTATCTTAAGCAATCGAAAGTACAGCTCTAACGGAAGAAAGTTCTATAGAAAAAGGTAATACTTAATACCCTTAGGGCTACTAAAACTAAACTATTACAGTACTATAGTATAACTAATAATATATATAGTAATCTTTATATAATTAGTACTATTATATCCCTATAGAATAAGCTCTAATTCTTTATAAATAAAGATTAGAAGGATCCGGAGGTTAATTAGCGAGGTCGGTATCGGAAGAGTCTTAAAGATCGCCTTAAACTATATAAGCACCGTCTTATATATAGAGAGGAGCCTAGAGCGGTATCTTTAAACTTAGGACTATCTGAACTTAAGAAGATATATAGGTAGGCACTACCTCTATCGGAAGTATCATTAGTTAATAACGAACTAAGCCAGTATCTTAATAATCGTAAGTACTTTAGACCCCCTTATTATATTATAACTAACCCTAAATATAGCCACTATTACGACTGCGCCTCGTATTTTTTAGAGAGAGAATAAGCGTATATTCCCCGCGCTTACTGCCTTAGCGCGGGATATACTTACTATTCTAGCTACTAGAGCTAGAGTTAAGCGACTTTTTAACTCTACGCGCGATATATATCACTACCGTCGGGGTTCTCTAAAACCATCGACTATTTAAGAGCTTATAATATATATATTTATATTAAAGTTTAAGATAGAGGATAAGGAGCGTCTACTATTAAATAAGTATCTCTTATTCTAAGAAATATAAGCGGAAGGCGAAGAACGCGAAAACGGTATAAACGATCTAGAACCGATTAGTAATAATAAGGAGGATAATATTGTAGTAGTAAAGATACTATAGCTAAGTGCGGTTATATTAAGAAAACGGCGGAGAAGTGTCGTATCTGTTAACGAGGACGATAGAAATAGCGAGGATAAGGGTATTAAAGAAGATAATATTAAGAACGATATAGATCTTCTAGTTTACCGTATAACTAGAAGGGCGCGAGTGCGCTCAGTACGTCTAAATAGTTATAATATAACGATAAGATAGTTATTTTATAATTGGAATGCCCTTATTTTCTCTAAATTCAACTATAAAGAAAATAGAAATCAGAAGCTATAAGATAGAAAGTGAAAAACATAAGAATAATCAAAAATATAGACTAAGTCTTTATAATTAATACAACTACTAAGAATTAGGTATTTGTCCTATTTATAGACCCGAAACAAGTCTGCGGGTGACCCGTACTAATTCCCTAGCCCTCCGAGTTCTACCCGCGAGTCCTAAGTAAGGACTCGAAACCCGCAAAATGCGGGTTGAGGGTCGGGTCGGTTCCGAGTCCATGCGGGTGAGGACGAGGTCTAGATTTAACTTCGGTTTCTAGAGAATAGTAGTAGGCGTTAGTACTACTATCTTACTTAATATATCGTCGAAGAGCGTCTTCTTATCTAGCTAGATTATTCGATACCGACGATAGTCTAGTAAGACGTTATAATCTATAAATTATTTCCTTCTAAGAATTATATCGTATTTTCCGAGATCCGCGATTAGTATCGGAACTTACTACTATACTCTACTATCTACGTATATCGTAAGAAAAGTAATATACGTAATCGGCTTACTAAGCTTTCCGTTAAATCCTCGAATAGGATACTCTTATCCTATACTTTCTATTTTTAATCCAAATCGTTTACCGAGGAGTATACTTAATCCTCAATTTAAGAATACGTATCTATCTACTCTAGTATTACTAAGCGCTAAAATAGAGAAAGAGCGTCTATTATATATTAGTCTAGTATTAAAAACTAAACTATCTCTAGGACCGCCTATTAACTTATATAAATCTAGCGAGTATAGTAATATCTTCTATCTACCTAGGTAGGAGACTTAACCTAAGTATCGGCTTTTCCTTAGTTATTATCTTTATTATCGTTAAGTTTAATAATACGGGGAGAAGGGTAAGCTATAGTAGACTACGGCACGATCCACAATATCCGCGGATATCCATAATCCATATCCGCAAACTGCGGATATAGATATTTTTTGATATCCAAGATCCGCAGCCTTGCGGATTTGGATATAGACCTTATGTCTATTGGATATTTGCGGATATCTAATAGATATCAAACAATACAAATATACCTAGACTCGTGACCTCGAGGGGTGTGCATTAATTTTATATTTTCCTCTGTATTTTTTGTGTAATAGTATGTTATGTTAAATAATCAAAATCTAGATCTTTTGGGGGTTGTATGAATTTAAATCTTCTTATTTATTTATATATACTATTTATAGATCTAACTGTAAAGGGCTACGGTCGAATTGAGTTAATTAAACGGCGCCTATATACTGTTTAGCTAAAGTTTAGGAGTTTTACTATATAGGAACTCTACGATAGTATTATATATTCTTAAAGTTGTAGGGTAGTAAGCGCCGGTAGTTCCTAGGCCCTAGCGCCTATTCTCTGACCTCGGTCAGAAGTCCTCTTATAGCAGGGGTCTCTCCCTCTTTTATAACCGTATTCAGAAACTTAGGCTAGGGGGAGACTGGTAGCGTATACGGGTAAAGCCCGAGCTCTAATACTAGTACTATCCTATTATACTAACTGGAAGCTATCTGGTAGCCTTGACTGTTTTCGAATCCGCCCTGAACGGCCTAGTATACTCCTATCTACCGGTATCTCTGGAAGCTTATTATCCTCTTCAATAGCGTCGTATAGTCGTTTTTGAGGTTGTTTTCCTTTTACCCGTCTACGTCGCTCGGTACTATTATCATCCGAATCATTACTACCGCTCTCAGTATACTAGGTAGCCTCAAGTCCAGTCTCTTAATCCTCCTCCTCGTTATTACTGATAGGCTCTAAGACCTCAAGCTGTAGTAATAATCTCCGGGTTTAATCTAGTAAAGCAGCTTTACCTTAGGATAGATACTCTTTAATAATCCCTAGCTCCTTATATCGAAGATTAAAGTTAGTAGTAAACTGATATAGTATTAAGCTACGGATTATACTCGGCTTTAATTAACTACGACGGTAATAATAGATATCATAAGTACAATTAAATAGTCGTTTAATACCAGTACTACTAGCAGAGATAGATAGAATATCCCTTACTATCCTTATTAGGGTCGGGAAGCTCTGCTTATATTCCTTCTAGAAAAGTCGAGGTTTTTATCGCTCAGTTCTACGAGTAAGATATCGTACAATCTCGTTATCATCTAGTTTTATAAGCTCTTCTAATAGCTAGTTTTGCGATATATAAGTAGTATTAAGATTACAGTTATCATTCTTATTAATAGCTACTCTAGAAGTCTCTAGTACCGCTAGGTTATTAGTATTATAGGTAAGTATCTTCCTATATCGATTAAACTCTCGGTTTAGGACCTTTTAATAACGATTTATATAATTAATATCGCCCTACCAATCAGTCGAGGAAAAGTACCGGACCTTCTTTAATAGAGAGAAGATTGTTACTAAAGCGTAGATATTACTATAAGACTCGTATTCGGTAGCAGTATAGTACTTAGAGAGCTTTTTCTTT